ATGTCATGTCATGTCATGCCATGCCATGTCATGGTATGGTATGATATGGTATGGTATGGTATTGTATGGTATGGTATGTATGTAAGTATGTATGTATGTATGTATGTAAAGTATGTAATGTATGTAATGTATTTAATGTAGGTAGTGTATGTAATGTAATGTAATGTTACGTTACGTTACGTTACGTTACGGGGTATGGTATGGTCTGGTCTGGTCTGTCTGTCTGTATGTATGTATGTATGTTTGTATGTATATTGTATAACGGTAGGTATATATAGCGTATTGTTTGTATATATTTTAACAGTATATATATACATATATATTGGATGTTTGCTGCAATCCAAATGAGATACCAGTAGAAACCCGGAGGCTGTGGCAAAAAAGACTACGATGGAGCTGAAGTCGGGAAAGGGCCGTATGGTCGATGCGGAGGCAACCGATGGTTGTTGTTGATGTGGTTCATCCTTCCGCAGAGGCATCCGATATGGGTCATCCACATCCCAGGGCCCAGGAAGTCCCATTAAGTTCTCCTTGTACAGCAGTTATTTTTGTCAGAACTGGTCTGATTGGCCAGGCCAAGAACATCGAACTGACCGCGAATGTGGCACAACTCATGGAGGTTCGGAAAATGATCTTCGTCCTCCTGCGCTTTTGTCGTCAGCTGCAATCCTGTCAGGCGCTGATACAAGCAGAGGCTCGCGAAAAAGAGGCACAGCCCCGTCGCATGGGTTTTGTTTCTTGTTGTTTCGGGACAAAATATATACATCATGGACATCCTTCTCAAGGTTAGGTTGTCCCGTGACCCATTATATCTAATCCTAACAGCGCCCAATTTTGTTGGTGGCCATTCAGTGGTTTGATCAGAGGTTTGTCTCAAGCAAACCTTTGTCCATTGCAATGTGTTCTTTTAGGAGAACAGAGTACTTCATCCCGGAGACAAATGTACCTAAAGCACTCACGGGGCGCATTTGAGACGCATACTGTACCTTGAAACACAGACAGTGCTGTTGCAAGATCCAGGCTCTTGAGCTTGCAGAGGGACGGGGAACTCCCTGGCATGTTGCGATGATGGGATGAAAACATTGAGGGGTTTGAAACAAACTATGTGCACCTAGATAGGCAACTTTGACCTGAAATGCGTTTGGTCTCATAGTGATCGACTTCAGTGTCTGTCAGCCAGGAATGACACATGAGAAGAAGAAAAAGAAGATGCTAAAGGCCAAGACATCTGCCAGCATGAGCTAGGCTGAGTTGGCGCAGGCATCAATGAGCCCAGATGAATCTGAGACATCCACATTTTTTCCTGAGTAGAAAACAGTGCCAAGCTCCAACTCTTGTCAAATTCTAGGAGAACCAGACTCCGCAAACGCGGACGACTGGGAATTAACATCCAAGCGATGGAAAATGGCCGTGTAGCCTGTTGCTGCGACTGTTCCGTGCAAGTGTTCTTGGGTTTGCATCCTTTGCCGGATGGGCCAAAGAACTTAGCACAGAGTATCACATTGTATGCGCTCTACCATACTTTGAGTGGTCGTTGCGTCGACTCAGCTGTTGTGGGCAAGCTCGGGGCCGCGACTTCTGACCACTCGGCCAGATCCTTCAGCAGCTGTATGTCTTGGCCAAGGAACAGCCTTTGCACGGTGCCCAGGTGCGAAACAGAACTGACGTTCTTGCGACACAGATGACAAAAGACTTAAACCGGTGCAGTCGTATGTAGATTCCAAGACCTACGACTGCTTGAGACCGTAATGATTACGCTTGTTCGTTGGCTCGTTGCTCATAAAGAAACTGATGCACTCACCAAGAGCTAAGAAGTGCAACGCGGGATTTCTTCCTGCTTTTATATAGAAGAGATGGAGTGAGGCACAATTGAACATGCAAACGGCAGGTGTAGCGAGAGAAACGCTTTGCGCGCGGAGGGAGAGAGAGTGTGTGTGTGCACCCTGGACTCACGGGCCTCTGCGGAGATTGAACGATTTTGGAAGCGGGGGGCACGGTGACCGTTCACAAAGGCAATGGTGTTCGGTCGGATGAGATACTTGCCGTAGTCTTTGGTATCTGCTCTGTGTCGCTTCTGAGCGCGTGTAGGTCTTCCGAGCTACCGGACTACTTCACTGCTTTCTACATGCTTGACTTCGTCCAACATCCTTGCTACTAATAGCGTCCTTGCTCCTAGTAGTAAGGCCAGGAGCCCCTAGTAGCTTCTTGCTCCTACATGCTTGACTTCGTCTTCATCCTGTACCTCCAAGACTTACTCTTCTTTCTGGACGTCGTTGTCTCGGGCGCTCTGGGGCATAGGTCGGCTTTGGGTCCCTTTAGCTCTGTCTGCTTTTCGGTGGTAGGTGGTCCCTGCAAGGTTGCCCGCTTTACCTTTGGCCTTTCTCTTCGGCCTTTCCTCTCTCTCCTCCTCCTTTCCTTGTCTGGTTTATATGTTGGATTGTCTCCCTTCCCTTTCTGGGAACTTCCACTTAAGGTCCTGCTGGACCGTTTGAATTTGTGTTAGTTCTGGGCAGTCTAGGGCCTTCTCCTTTCAGTGAGGTCTGTTAGGGGCCTTGGCATTCCAACCGTACGTGCACCAATCTCGTGTGTATGCGTGCGTGTACCAATGGCACTCAGAGTGCCTCTCACTTATCACTTATGGAAAGATTGGAGCTGCCGGCACGGGCTTCACCGCAACTGGCTGCATGAACGACTACCCTTTGGCGACCCCGCCTTAACAAATTCCAGTGACCGCTGCTATTATTTCCATTTATTTCCAGGACCCCCATCCTGATGCTGACTCCCAGACTTTCATGCAGGCCTGGTATACCCATGGTTGGCAATTCTATTTCCTGCAGACAGTTCTCGCCAAATAATACATCAGCCCCCTCGTGCAGGATCAACCAACTGTTCTTAACAATGTTGGCCAGCTCCTCTTCCAGATGAAGTTTGGGGCCCCAACTACCTTCGTTGTCCTCCTGAGCAGGAGCTTGCGAATTTGATGGCATACATCCAGGCCTATCATCAGCGGGTCCCTGCGGCAGTGATCTATGTTTCCCCCTCCTTGTTTATCCGTCAGCAGAGTTGCCCATGTCGGCGTCTTCTGCATCCCAGTCACACTCCTCAACTTTTGCACATTCGACTTTTATGGAGGACACGACTTTGTAGCGACGACCATTCAAGAAAAGGACCGACTGCACTTCTCGTAGCAACTGCTTGGCATCCGTTGCACTCATACTTTCTATGTGGCTTACTCAGGCAATTTGTTCACGCAGGCCTTTGGGCGATGGCGCATTCAGATCGTACGCGCAATGTCTTGAGTGTGTTTGTGCATGTCGTGTCCACGCCTTGGCACACCCTCAACAGTGTCGATGCGTTTGCGCAGCTCCGCACTATGAGAGTGCGATGAGCAGCAAGCAGCTGGGTGGGTCTTCAGAGCTCCTGCACAGATGGTCTTCTTTAATTAAAAATATATATATATATTGGATCCAAAGGTCGGTTCGTAGGTTTAGAGGGGTCCAGGGTGACACAGTTTTGACCGAGGCCAAACTATACAGCCTGTCCGGAGGCAGGGCCTGTCGATGGTTCAGGGTGTGGAGGGTCCAAACCAAGAGAATGCGCTTTCAACCTACTAATAGCGATGGCCTCCAACTCAATGAATGGCCGCCAAGAGGATTCAATGATTCTGATCATGTTTGTACCTCGTAACTGGAGACACCTTGTTCATCCTGATAGAATCTAGCATGATCTAGCATGTAATATTGTTCTCAGTAGGCCGAAGTCGCATAAAGGAGTCGACTGTTCTTGGTTAATGTGTTCAAGGCACAGTTCTTTGAGCCTTTTTTTGCCTGAGGCCTTCAATGACCTGTCCCTGATGACATTCCCACAGGATGCCTTGTGGCAGATCAAGACAAAAGAGCCTGCCTCTATTGCTGCATGTAAAAAGTGGAGAGTTGACAAAGAAGAAAGAACAGAAAGAAGGCGGAATCCAGGGACTTGAGAATAACACACCAATCGTGCCTAATGACTGCTCGTGCAGCTCACCTCGGCTCGTATCACACTTCACCACAACGAGGCTGACAACATCACATTGGGACATTGCACCCCGCCGCAGCAGACGTCACTCACATCACTCCACCTCCGCATACATATGTACAATATACAATATGTGTGTGTGTATATATATATATAATATGTTCCATAGTAAGGAACAAGTCGACGGTAGACAGTGGAGGCCAAAGTATTCAGGTGCCAGTGCCATGCTGTCTTTGCTCGTGGCCTTTGTGATTCTACAAGCAATTCTTCCTCCATGCAGAACTTCTACCCAGAACAAAGACGTTGCGCTTTGTAGCAATGCCAGTGACCAAGTGGAGCTGCTCCAGATGTTCGCTCCCAACGGCACCGTCCGAGCACACCATGCAGAGAAGTTGGGGATGTTGGGGAAGCACCACTCGTTGAAGACTGAAGAGACATGCTGCTCTGCCGAGGATGACGAGAAGCTTGCCTATATCCAATCGGAACTGGACAGCATGTACGTCTGGGACATTGAGGATGAGGTAGAGCAAGCCATGGAAATTTCAACAAGAGAGCTAGAAGAAGAGTACAACAAAGTTGTCTCGGGCGAAGTGACCTGCAAGACATCCTGGACAGATCGCCTGAAGACTGCTGGTTCGGCTGCCTTGAAGATGGGAGCGCAGCAAGCAGTGAAAGCAGTCCCGTATGTTGGTGGAGTCTTAAGCTCGGTCGTTAAAGCCTTTTGGCCATCAAGTGACAACTCCTGTGACATTTGGGAACTGATGCTTGGTCAGGTCCAAGAGCTGATTGATGTGTCGATCATGAAGTCGGAGCTCATTTCACGCTATGCAGATTTGTTGGCGGTCAAGAGGTTTTTGAACCGGTTTTCATCGAGCAGGTCCAACATAGACCGCGGAAACTTTCTCGGCATTGCGTTGGCAAAGGTGGAAGATGTCATGGAACACTTGACCGTTTCCGAGAACCGTGCGCAGTTCATTCCTTTGGCTGTTGTCGCAGCCACCCTGCATTGCACAATTCTGCGTGTGAGGGTCCTTGTTGGGATGGATCTCTACGGTGCGTGGGATGCCTCATGGAACGCTGAGCTCCAAGAGGCGGTGGCCTACTATCAAGACGGTGGCCTACTATCAAGACTATTTCAACTATGCCTATAAGGAGTGGTACGAGTGGCGGTCGGGCAAGATTCACAGTGTGGTTATAGACAGACAGACCGGTCACACCAGGAGGAGGTCGCAAATCCAAGGTCACAGATAGCTTCACGACAAAGGCCTATGTGGCGGGATGTGAAGAGGCCGACTGGACACATCTTGGAGGCATCGGGTATTCTGACTATTGTGATTTGATCAAGGATTACCAAAAGAACCACATGATACGAGACTACGCCCACCCCATCATTACGGCGTTGCAACCCGTGATGAATTTGCAACGTTTGATACCTGGCAGGGAAAATTCTCGTGTTCAAGTGCTGCCAGCTATCGAATATGTGACGCTTGGATACGCTTGGCCCCTTCGCCCCCTACACGCAGTACATCTCCGACGTGACTTTCAGGTCGAAGGCAGGGTGGATCACACAGTGGCTGAACCGCTCCAAAGTCTGTGAAAATTCTGGGGGCTTTGGTGGCCCTGGCAACATCAGGGAGATCAACATTCGTTCGGGCAGCGACGTCGACAAGATCGAGATGATTTATAAACGCTGATGACCAGACATGTGAAGCTGGTGGTTCAGGTGGAACCGCCGCTACGCCTATCGCGATGTCCAATGACCAGTCCGTTTGGAGTTTTTCGTAAATGTGTTTCAGTGACAATTCTTTGACCTATATGGAGATTTGTGGCACCAACGTGTTTGACGGCGAGCGCAAGAGTTTTGGGACAGGTGAGTGCGATGCTCGAAATGGTGGTGCTGTCATTGAGGGTGAGGGTGACACCTACAAGCTTGCAGGAGCTACTCTAAAAGGATTTGTGAATGAAAACGTGTTTCACGTTGAACCAACGTATCGCTTCGCAGCTTTCCAAAGCTTCCAGCGAGAATCTTTTGCGAAAAGCGCCGTGAGATCAGGCGATATACTCAAAGCAAAAGATGGCCTGGAGTCTCCCAACAACATGTACAGGTTCAAGGTCCAGGAGGATGCCAACCTGGTCATCTATGATGTCTATGACAATGTCAAGTGGGCCAGGTCAGATGTGGCGCCGGAGGACTGTGCTGACCCCTCTACGCTGCAGCTTCGGCTTGAGAATGGTGGAAATTTGGTCCTGTTCTGCGGTGATCTCATTAAGTGGGAGAGCGGAACGGGAATCCCAAGAGACATATGCCGCATAGTTGCCATGCAGAATGATGGCCAACTGGCGATGTACAACGTTGCTGGCCAGCAGTCTGGTGTTTGGTCCAGCGGAGACTCCATTCCAGTTGGATTTGGACCAAGCAACTTGACCAGCCCTCACAGCTTGCAACTTGGACAGCGCCTGGTGCAAGGCTACTACGGAGGCAGTTCCTCCTTCGTGTTGTCCATCGAATCTGGAAGACCTGTGGTGAACAAGTGGCAAGACAAAGCAATTTGGACTGCGCCTGCCAGCTGCGAGGCAACCGACAATGCAGCGTACCTCCATCTGCAAGAGGACGGCGACCTCGTTTTGTATTGCGATGAAGCCCACATCAGGGTCGGATGGGCCACCAACACTGCAGACCCCTCTCTCGAGCAGCTGAGTGGCGTGAATGGGCTCTTCTTGAACGCAGACGGCAGCTTGGTGCTTATCAACAAGAGAGGTCAGATCAAATGGACATCAGGTTCTGGTCAAGAGTATGAGTATAAATTCGAATCATAGTTTGTTGCATTTGCTTCAGGAGCAAAATCCGTCAGCTTGGCCATTTCTTCCTGTACAGTGGCATTTAAATCATTTGAAAAGGCCCGCGCAAAAAACTTGATTTTTGAAGACTGCTCGCCTTGCTGTGGGATGTATCAGTGATGTTCATCTCCACCGTGTTGTGTCGAATTGTATAGCCCATATATACTCCACTTGTACAGTGTTGACTAAGGACTTCATGTATGTTTTGGCTCCAGGAGAAAAGGACGCTCCGTAACTCCGTAGCGTCGATATCGTGTTGCGATGGTAGCGCGAAGGCCCGGTGAATGTGAAAGGGACCTAGCTTTGAGAGCCAAAGAGGAATGGCGTAGTAAAGTGGAAAGCTCCTCGGAGGAGGAGGCAGGTGAGGAAGCGGCCACTTCGGCCGCGCCGGTGACCGAGCCAGAGAAAGAAGAAGAGAAGGATGAAGCAAAGAAAGAGGAAGAGAAAGAGGAACCTTTGCCTGAACAAGAGCCTGAGACCGAGTTTGCGACAGAAAAGACAGAAGAAGGAGAGAAAGAATCGGAAAAGGAAAAGGAAGAAGAGGGCTTGGAAGAACACACCCCTTCAGAGCCTGGTGATCCCGATCAAGCGGCCGGTGTGGCTGAGGACTACTCACAAGAGCTGCCATCCGTGCTTGGTGATTATTATACGCGGCAAAAGACGGAACTCGCCGCAGCTGGGAGATTCCATCACCAAGGTTGCGCGGCAGGGCAGAGAAGGCATTGGTGACGGCACCTTGGCGTTTGCCTGAAGAGCGAAAGAAGGCACAGAAGTTCGATAGACTCCGCCGGAGTGTCAGGAGTACCGCAGCCTCAAGAACTTCATCCGCCTTCAGGCAAAGCAGGGCAAGTTTTGGACGCCATAGACCAAAGAAGAACAGAAAGAGCATCGCAAACAGAGGAGCCAAGGAGGAGCCGGCTGACGATCCACCATCTGATCGCAGCGGTCTCCTATCAGCTGAGGTCAAGGAGCCCGATCCGAAGGAGGAGCTGAGTTAGGTTGCAAAGTGTCGGAAGAAACGCCGCCGTCGGAAGGTGCAGCGGGCAGAGGCCCACGACCCCGCCAACGGGGAAGGGCTCTGAAGCCCAATTCCTAAATCCACGATCTGGCAAACGCAGCAGCGCGAGAAGGCCACATTCCGAACTGTAAGCATTGAATGACCCTCCCAAGTCCGCAAGATAGAACGGTAGCTATCGCTGCTGCGCGAAAGCTTTGGAAGCAACCAGGTCCTTCAGGAGAACTAGGCAGCAACCAAGCCTGCAGCAGCTGCGACGAGAGATCAGCGCCGCAGAAACCAAAAACTGTAACTGTCGAGTTCATCAAAGCTAGGGGACTGAAAGGCAATCCATTGAACTTGAGAGCCCAGTGACAATCGGAAGGGCGCCAGAGCACGGATCGCAAGACCAAGAGAGGGTCGCGTGTGAGGGAAACCTCACAAGTTCGATCCGTCCCTGCAAAAGAGTGAGTTGAAGCAGCTTTGGTATATTGGAAGGATGCATGGCTTCGGGGCAACAGGTTCAACAGTTATCCGATCTTGTTCAACAACTTCAACAAAACCATTTGAGATTGGAACAAGAGACTCAGAGCTTGAGGGAAAGCCAAGGAGGTGTAGCTATGCTACGCAGCTGGTGCTGTAGGTGAACTATAGCTAAGGGCATGTAAGAGCTTAGAGAAGAAGAATGAAAACAAGGGGAAACAAACCCTGGTAGACGCCAAAGGTGTAGGAAAACCAGATCCATTTGATAACGCGGAAGACCACTTCCAGATGCGCGTGATCAGTTGCGTGATAACCTTTTGATTTCGGTTAATGGGTCACGAGTTCATCGAGGTTTTGGACTTGTGGTTAGAACAAGAAGATCAAACAAATGGTTGAAGACGAGCTTGGAGTTGGCACGGTGAGTGCAATCGAGGACCTAGCAGACAAAGCCGACCAGATCAATGGGGTGTTGTTGCCCCTAACTTCCGGAGAGACGGAGGATCTTCCACCAGAGCGGGTGAAGAGCTGGCACGCTGTCAGGCCCGCCATCGAACAGCTGAGGAGTTGGTTGGCGGAGACTGCGCTGGTTATTGTATCGTCCCTCACATCCAAATTCAAATCATTCATTTTCAAAGCCAGGATCGAGTTTGAGTTCGTGTCAAGGACCGCAACCAATGGACGTGGACTCAATAGGACAATGGGTCGCTATTCTGGTCAAAGGTAAAAGTAAGGGAAAAGGAAAACAAGGAACGGGTGATGGAAAGAACGGCTCAAGCAAAGGAAGTTCAAGTAACGGCTCAAACCCGGCTCAAGATATCGCGTGCTAGAAAGGACAAAAAGCGGCCGATCGCTGGAGCCAGAGACGGCTGGATGGTAAAGGTCAGGGCAATCCAGGCTCAGGAAAAGGCAAAGGCAATGGAGTTGTGCAGTCAGGACGTTGGGTTCGATGAGAGCGGCAAGGTGCCGTGAGAAGAGGTCAATGGCTGATGTTAGTAGGGTAGGCTGTCCAGAAGACGCTGGTTTACGCGAGGGGGGGCTGCAGAGCAGCGGAGTTGGATCTGTGTGAATCAGGAACAGGGAGTGTATAATGAAGAAAGGAATGCAACGCCGTTGCAGAGTTGAACGCTGCAGATGGCAGACCGAAAGCTCCCATCAATACAGGCCCGACGACCTGATCCGGAAGGACGAGAGGATGAAGGGTTGGAAGAAGTTGATGAAGTTGAGAAACCCATCCAAAAAGGAGCGGCGGAGGATCCTTCTCCGGCTGAGCGCGACGCGACAGGCCATGAACATTGTGGAGTTGGCGCCGGCGTTGCGTTGGACGCGCTGTGGGACAGCAGGGTCGGACAAGGCCCGAGGAGCAGAAGGCCAAGGACCTACCTGGACCACGTGTTCATGTCCAGAGGTGTTGTGGAGGATGAGCGAGTGAAGCCGATCCTCGCGATGAAAGATAAGGGGACGCAGTCCTTAACGGCAACCTTCGTGGGCTCGAAGAGACCCACCGCGTACGCGGCCAATTTTGTTGCGAGCTTCTTGCGGAATCTTGGGCGCAGGAAAGCGCAGCGAAGGAGACCACCATGGAGTGGGTCTCTGAAAAATCGCAGGATGATGATCCTGCTTTGCATGGCTGCCAAGACAGGCAGAAGAAGGCTCTGACGGACTGACGCCAAAAAGTCCTGGAAAGCAACGGCGGAAGACAGCCATAGCTTTTGGACAGCGCATTCAGAGAAGTTGGTGAAGGAGTGAGAGTCCTGAAAGAAGGACGGTACATAGTACATTGGACATCATGGCCGGCTGATGGAGTGCGACGAGGCGCCTTAAGGGAACATTCCGCGGCAGTGAGGAGTAGATGCGTGATGATCGCCCTGTGGTACCACCTCTTAAGGAGGGACGAGTGACGCCGCCGCAGCAGACTAGAGTGTACGTCCGAAGAGAGGACGCGCTCGAGCGCGGAGCCGCAGGAAGGCTGTCCAAGATGCAGGTGCATGTTGGAGGACAAGAGGACGACTGGAGGCGAGGAGAGCAAGGATCACAGAAGCAACAGAATGAAGATGAAGCTACAGGCTCAGGATCTGGAAGCGCGCCGCCGCCAGCGGCGGATGGTGAGAGCACCTTATCGAGAGGACTCGAAGAAATGAGTGGCGAAGGCCAAGGTACCAGCGCGCCCCAAGAAGCGAGCAGGAGAGCTCACGAGGGACGAAGAGAGCAGCTGAGACAGATGTGGAGCACTTGGATCCAAGGTTGGAAGAAAGTCAAGTGAGAGCGGGGCCATTTGCGCGTGTCCGAAGAAGATCGTCCAAGGAACCTACGAGGCGAATGGCGTAGAGATCATGGAGCAAGAGATCGTGGACATAGCTCATGTGAGCGTGCGTATGTCAGCAGTGGATATCATGGAGATCTACTCGCCCAAAAGGTTTAGCGGGTTTTGCGGTTGACCTGAGTGAAGAGCAAAAAGATGGAGCGTACTGGGACCTGTGACAGGCCACATGACATCGTGGGCACCTCTGGAAGAACATGGCGCCAGATCACTAGCGCGCAAGCGTTGAGTTGTATACCAAGCAACGTTGGCTCCTTCGCGAAGCTCCATGGGCAGCAACAAGCTGGAAAGATGAGAAAGTAGCTGTAGCCAAAGTAGACAGAGTTTTTGTGGTCAAAGGGCCTATGCGTAGATGGCGGATGATGGCGACGGACAAGAGAGGGCGCCAAGGTACAGGGTATGTCCGGAAAGAGACCGGATGAATGACCAATGACCTTGGAAGGTGTTTGGGAGCATCCAATTGAGAGGGGGAATAGCAAGACAAGCAGCGGTATACCCACCGCAGCTGGTGACAGCAGTGCGGAGAAGCCTGCGCAACACCTTGACGGATAAAGGCGGCTGAACGCCTTTGACATGTTTGCAGCAGGGCCAGTGCCAGAGACACCGTTTGTAGATCCAGAACTTGATAAGATCTACATGGATGATGCGAACGGTGGTTTCTTGCCAGCAAATAAAGTGAAGGATGCGAGACGCCTTGAGAAGGACTATGCCTGAAAGTCAACCATGGTGTCTATGTGACGAGGCCAAAGAACAGAGTGCTTTGAGGAGACGGGAAACCCACAATACCGGTGAAGTGGTTGGACACCAACAAAGGCGATCCAACAAACGTGAACTACAGGAGCAGACTGGCCGTGCGTGAGATCAAGTTTCCAGAGTCGAAGGAGGAGCAGTTGTCAGCAAACGTGCTTTTTTTTTAGCAACATGCAACCCTTAAAGCCTTAGGCCTTAGAGGCGATGAAGACTGCTATGCTCGTGGTGGGCAACCAAGAGAAGGTCCCGGCGCCTCAGAAGCTGAGGCTAGGATTGTGGGGCATCTCACGAGCCCACTTCTATGGAACACTGAAAAGAGGAAGATCTACATCGAGTTGCCGGATCGAAGAAGAGGAACAGCAAGAGGTGGACATCTTGTGAAGTCTATGAATGGAACGTAAGATGCCCCAAATATTTAGCACACGAGAAGGCCAGGTTCCGTGGAGGCATCTCAATTGACCTCCTCATCGAGACGTTCGGTCTGGAGAAACCGAATGGTGTCGAGTCACCTGGCGTCAAGAAATCTTTGGACCAGCAGATGCTGGAATCCCGAAGCCCACTGTTGGATAGGAGTCACGGTATAGATCCGGTAACAATGCGTGTGGCATCCTGGCGCAGGATTGCCTAGACATAGGCCTCGCCAATGCAAAGTTGGCGGACCTGAAACGGCTAACCCGCTACCTCAAGATGTATCCGGATGTGGCGCAGGTTTTCAGTTCCCAGCAAATGCCGACGAAGGTGCGGATACAAGCAGATGCAGACCACGCGGCGATGCTGTCGCAAGAAAGAGCACCACAGGAATGGTTGCCATCTTTGGCACCCATTTGCTCAAGCGCCTTTCTACCGGAGTCTGAATATTTACTACGCTGGACTTGGACTTGGACTTGGAAGTCGCTGTGGAAGGAGACTTGAAGGGGACGGCGCAGAGAGTTGGACTTGGCAAGGCGCGCCGTGTCCAAGCCATGTGGCTACAAGAAAGAGCAGCCGAAATTCCAAGAACAAGGGTGACGTTCTCACCAAGTCAGTCCCTGGAGTCCAGCTCCAATCCTTGACCGGCGGAGCAAAGGTCAGCTGGACATCCTCGAATGAGGCCCTGCCCACTCCACTGTTCAGAGGCGCTGAGCGTGGTAGGAGAGAAGAAGTTTCACTTTTGTGTATAACTTGCGCAGAGGATAAGCGTGATAAGCTTGTTGCAGGCGGGAGGAGGAGCGTCGAATTGTATAGCCCATATATACTCCGCATGTACAGTGTTGACTAAAAGGACTTCATGTATGTTTTGGCTCAAGGAGAAAAGAACGCTGTGTTGCGTCGGTATAATATATTTTAATGCTGTGCATTGTTGGCGTTTAATGTCATGTAGTAATTGTGACCGTGCACGGGTCAGTTCTGCGAATCGAGTTTGCGTGCTTGCACTTTCGGCGTGCCTGCAATACGGTGCTGTTTTCCTTCCGAACGTTTTGGCGCAAGTTTACGGAAGAGCCATGTGAAACAGGAAGTATCACTTCGTGTGTTCACAAACTTATGGACCCTGATGCCGCTTTGGATCTCTTGCTGAGCACCTTTGGGTATGGACTTTGCAGCGAGTACCATGAACCGACCAGGGAGTTCAAATTCCAACATAGTAGTTCGGCAACGCCTGCCCAAACACCCATAGCAGATCAATTGACAATGCGAAAGGACATGAACCCATCTTTCAGAACACGCAGCAGTTTGTGACGCATGTGGCAGCACAAATCACAGCTTCAGACCATTTCCATCGTAGTACTGGGAAGCCGAACCTTCGTTGGAGCCCACGCGATAGTCGAATCATTCTTTTTAGGGAGGCCAGTTTGACAGTTGCTTCTTCTTCATTGGACAAGTGGTCTTTTTCCCATGCTGGGAGCTTAGAAGGTGTTGTGGGAGTGGGAGTCACTTGTGACTGACAGCAAGCAAGTGAGATGAGAACTCATGAGAATCATGGGGACCGTCATGTAGCGACCGTGAGCCAGAAGTTTTTCTGCATCAAACCACCCGCAAGTTATTTTTCAAAAATCGTCGTGGCAATTGCGTACGTTTGGTATCAAGCATGAACTTGTACAGTATGTATATTCTTTTTCCCCGCATTGACGTGTGGGGTTTTTGTTTTTAGTGTGGTATCCGCTCTTCCTTCTTCTTCCTCCTCCTCCCGCTTCCCACTTGCCACCAACCAATTGCCACCCACCAATTGTCACCAGCCAATTGCCATCAACTAATTGTCACCAACCGATTGTCATCAACCGATTGTCACCAACCAATGGCCGCCCACCAATTGTCACCAACCAATGTCATCCACCGATTGTCATCAACCAATTGTCACCAACTAATTGTCACCCACCATGTGCTACCAACCAATTGCCACCCACCAATTTTCACCAACCAATTGTCATCAACCAATTTACTGCTCACCAATTGTCAATTGCCGCCCACCAATTGCCACCACTGACTGGCAGGCGTCGTGCTTTGGTGTTTTCCAGCTGGTCGGATGTACGCCCTGGCGCTGCTGCTGGGTCTCCGCCGCTGCGCCGCCGTGATTTGATTGGCAGGCGTTGTGCTTTGGTGCACAAGTTCGGATGTACGCCCTGGCGCTGGCCGGGGTTGCTGGGTTTACGCCCCGGTGCTGGCCGGGGCTGCTGGGTCTCCGCCGCCGCACCGCTGTGATTTGTGTAGCGTTTGTGTCTGTGCTGCCGTCCAATTGTCACCAACCAATTGTCATCAACCAATTGCTACCAACCAATTGTCACCAACCAGTTGTCAGCAACCAATTGTCACCAAGCAGCTGCCACCAACTAACGTCACAAGATCACAGAACATCGCACAACATCACACACACACACCACATACACACAACATCACACGCAGTCACGCGTGAGACAGAATTGAAGAACAGATTGATCTGCGTGGACTGTTGGCCGTGAAGTTTTGATGCACTGTAGCTCAGTAGCTCGATTTTTGTGCTACTAGCTTCTGTACTAGCTGGAAGTTTTGATTGACAGCGGCGCATCACTGGAAGATGAGCGCCGTGCGATCCCTTTCGGAACATCGCCACGCTGGAGCTGATCGGAGTCTTGGTGGCGGTCATGGTGTTCGCTCCGGGTTCGAAATGGGGAGGCGGTGCTCTGGTGACCCTCCGGCAACCTGGCCAGCACACAGTAACACACACGTCTTGAGAAGAAGTTAGGGTCGAGCAAGTAACTGGTGTCGATTGTGATGGAGCTAGCCGTCCAGTTGGGTGGCGTAGACCTCGAACTTCAGTGGGTTGCCCGGCGCAGAATCAATCAGCCCGTGGACGAGTTGACCAACGTTTCGAGGACTTCGACGAGGGGAACAGGCTAGATGGGCAGGCTTCTGGAGAGCTGAAACTGTTCAAGACCTCGAAGGAGGCGAAAGCAGCGCAGCGAGAAGATGCAGCGGACTTCAAGGGGAAGAAGAACAGCGCTGGAAAGACCCTTTTGGGTGAGCTGTGCATGACGTCCGACGTCTGTCCTTGGAAAAACCATGAGCAGTGTAACCACGGCAGGACTGGCTTGAGCGCAGCCCCTTGAAAAGGCCGCCGCGCGTGAGTGGAGTGACATGATCATTTTGGCAACGCATGGAACCATTTGAGCTGACTGCAGTCGGCTTGGTTGAAGACCCTTCAGAGAGAAGCTGAGCCAACTTGCGCTGCTGACTTTGGATATGCGGTGCCAGTATGTTGACGGGTTGTAGAAGCGGGTATACCGGGCTTGGGATCAACCAGGGCCAGGGCTGCTTGCCTTGAGGCTGCGTCGACCATTGCTGCCTTGCAAGGCTGGATGAAGAGAATGCTGCAAAGACTCCTCCGACCAGTCCTTTTACATGTGGAATAGATATCCTCAGGCTTGGTCGTCCCACTTCCGGTGCTTGAAGAACTCGAGGCCTTTGAAAAGCTCGGGTCGACTGAAACTTTCCTTCGCACGCCCACTGGAGCGATGCAATTTGCTCATACCTTCCTTACTATCTTTGCTGTCGCAGTCTTGTTAATTCTCAAGAAGCCTCCTGTTTCCGCGCTCCTCGTTTTCCATACGCAGGCTAGCGCCACGACTTGTCAGTGAGGCAGGTCCAGTCGAAAGAGACATATAGCAAAAATTTTGTGCTTCCTGATGTTGACGCTGCCGGACCAGGAGTCACAAACCATGGAATGGAAGACCTCGTGATAGACGATCTATAGATATTTGCAGTGTACAAAGTACATGACCGGGGTGCTAGGGAGATGCGAACAACAACCTCGCAGATGTGTGCAAAGCTGGACTCAGGTTGCGCGGGAGAGGCCCTTTGAATTTGTCAAAGAAGAAGGTGCGATTGGGCGGGCTGGGCCACTGGGCCATTTTGCATCAGATTCGGCGCGTCAGACGATTAAGAGTACCATAAGATGATTGCAGAAAGGGGTAAGCGATCCAGTTGGAATTGAATACAAATGATTCATCACAGTAATTTCTGGGATGTGGACAGTCTTGGCTGTCAAAGAATTGGAGATCTTTGGACACAACTGCCAAAGTTTGGATACTCTATGGCCAATCGAGATCAGTGATAATTAATAAGCCGCTCGTGCCAAGCAGGTCGTGGTCTCAGCGCACGTGCCAAGAGGGACCTCTCGCACGGTGCCCCAAATAGGGTTTGGCACCTGAAAACAGTGTGCCGCGAAACGAATGACCTCGTGAAAGCATATACATATTTAAGTAACGTTGAGTTTTGGATTCGGAGATGCACGTGAGTAGACTGGTCCGTTATGGATCCTCCAAAGGCATTCAGACGATGTTAGCTGAAGGCTGGGAGATGTCGTGCTAATTGAACAGCCAGTGCTGGCAGTGGAAAACAATGGTAAAGGCAGGACCGAAGCTGAAGGAGTTGTGAACCGTGTAGAATACCTTCCATTTAGGAAGGACCGCAGAGCCGCAGAGTATGATCATACGGCTTAGCAACTTTGCACTAAGTTGGGCTATAGACTTCTCAATCCGAAGAAGACATCCAACCAGCAGCTTCAAACTAAGTTTTGAAGGTTTAAGATGGTCTTTGGGCAATTTTAAAGCACTTGATATCGCATGAGAACATGTTCAATGTCCAGATTGGTAGTCAGGTAGTCTGTTCTATCAGCAAGAAGCTTGGACACACTCCACAATCCTGAAGCTTGGGTGTTTGCGAGGTGACGAGTGGAAGGAAGACCTCCACAGTCGGTGCTCCTCATGATCACGTCGTATCACGTCGTTTCAAAGCAGAGTGAGGACAGCCAGAGGCATGGGACGTTACATGGCATTACATGCGCACCCCCATGTCGGAAGATCGCGAGAGATGACTTACATGCGTACTGCGAGATAGACTGTTCAGATCGAAGACCCAGGTGAGACCAGGTGGCCAGATGTGAGATCCGGAGGCTTCAAGTTTCGATTCATCGAAACCAGCCAGAGATGCGTTTGCGTCCCAGGTCCACGCTTCCACTGAGGCACGCATTGAAACCCTCCCGGCATCCCTTTTCTTGGTATTTTCTGGGTTTGGGCTGACGGCGATCAGGTACTTGCTGAAATATGCTGTAGCTTGCGAACCAAACACAACGCCAACACAGAGCTCGTACTCAGCTAGAGGTACGAGGCTCTGTCAGAGGAGAGGCAAAGCCAGGACAGACACGAGACGACTTTGTGAGAGTGCTGCATGGTGGTAGGAACATGGTCTTTAAATCAAGGGATGTTCGATATAATGACAAAGGGAATTGGCAAAGACTGTACCTGTTTGTTGGTTCTTTACATGATCTGTCAAGGAATATGGAACCTTTCTTGAGTTTAGGACTTGGTGCATTAGTTGGGTGCAGTGCAGTTGGCCGGTGGCCGGTCACCACTGCCGTCGCTACCACAGGTGTGGAATTTACATGATGCCTGTCTTCAAAAGCCGGAGAAGCAGCTGCCTCAGTTCCGCCGTCCTGACCGCCAAACAGCTGCGGATCATTTCGGATCTCACTCGTTTCGAAGGCTGCCCTTTAGTTCGATTTACAATGACTCAAGTCAGACGGCCCATGCAGCATTGTATTTGGAACATTTATTGTGGTGGAGGCCATCGCAATTAGGTTGGAGGCAATTGCTATATTATTAGGATTTATTAGGTGTTGTTGATCCCACCCAAAGCGATGTTATGAAAGCTTCATTCTGTTTAGGAGAGAATGCTTTCTCTAAGGCTGGAATTGTCCACTTAGCATACAATGTGCCAATTTGGCTGCCACTTGCATCTGCAGGTCACTAGAAGGTATTCTTTTCACCAACTGCATTGGTCGCAACCTCCCAGTGAGGCCCGATGGGGAAGTATCGTTTGGAGTCATGTTTGTTTTCCTCTCATACAGCTTGAACAGATTGTGTAAGTAGAGATGTGCAAAGGACTGCACAGATACTCATTCTGCAGATAGCATTGCCAAAAAGGTTGCAAAGACCAACCTCGCTCCATCCAACATCTCCCTGCGGTCTAGGAGTTGAAGCTTCACAAGGATGGGAACGCCTGATCAAGTAATTACTACTTTGCGCACTGACATTCGACTCGACTATATAATTTGCACATTTAGTGCTGAATATTCCCTGTGGTCATGCTTAGTCCCAGCGACCAGGTTTGATGCAGCCCTTTTCTTGGAGCTAAGTCGCTTCAACCACTCCTGCAGCAAGGTTCTCAGGGATAGAGTCTTGAAATTGGAGTGCATTCTTTGATATGCTTTCTACATATATAAATATATATATATATATAGAGAGTATATTACTTTTAAATTCTTGTAATCTTCAAGCAAATGTTGAATTGTTGCTCAACGAATGCAAGCTTCCGCATGCTGATTCGAGGTCCAAATCTGGAGCAGACCTGGAATGCCGATACCGGAGAGGTGGGAGTCCAACATCTCCACTTGAGACGATCGTTTAAGCAGAAGCTACAAAAACAAGTACACTGACATACCGAAATTTGGACTGTCAAAATGTAAGAACATGTTCAGAGACATAAGATACCTTCAGGAATAAAGGTCACCCCCTGTCGAATTCTGCTCCAGGTGCGACTGGTCGCTGCGGAGCCAGTAAAAGCAGGCGAAGAGCTTTGCACGCACTACGTGAGGACCTTGTGGGGCAGAGCATTCGGTTCCTGGTGCAGCCCCAACAAAAGAAGTGAAGGGTTTTCAGCCTGAGAGCCCTCTTCTACTTGACATGATCACGGTCAAGACATCAATCCAACACTAATCCAATAACAAGCTTGACCGTCTGACGTATATATATATATACATATGCTATTGATGAACTGGAAACAAGCTTGTGGCCAGCCCCTAATTTGCATGACAGCGAGTTACTGACCACCGTTGAGGTTGAGCTGCGCCTGGACCGGGCAGAACGCCGGCAGAGGCTGCATGAGAACTACGGCTTTTGGTACAAAACACCCAGCTGTTCTCTTCTTCAGATAATGTCAATGTAATACTACTATATGGTCAGTTTGGTTGGTGATTTGAATGTAAGCATTTCCACATGTGAAGCCAAGGTGTGAATGCCCAGCCTGTGCTCAGCCCAGCGAAGAAAGCGACAAACGAAGGAGTCTCTTTGCTTACACTGTGCAAGTGGAAACAACTCCTGGAACATATATTGACTTTGTGTGCAAGGGAAATTGCAAAGGGGTGCATGATGGTCCAATGTTGAGTTGGTTGCATGCCGAGTATATTTGAGCGATGTTTTGGGACAGTCTACGAAGTGATCGGCAGGACGGAGATCAAACGCAGCTGACCCAGGTTCTGTTAACTTTGTTTCCAGTTCTGTCCAATGCTTGCCGCAAGTCATGGATGGCAGAGACATGTTGACCCATGTCGTTCATCTTTGTTCTGTGCCTTTGTGCTGAGTGCCGGTCCTGGCACTTACTACAGTAGATAGTACCTGGATGTACCCCAATGGCACCAGGTTTGGCGGAGTCGATCGAAAAAGATCGGCAAGATCGGCTGAAGAACATGGAGCGTGGCGAACGGGCAAGCTGCTTAGCATATGACATGTCAATACATTGCATGCAAATGTGAACTGACCAGATTTGCAAGGTTGCCTTGCAGCAATTCAGCAGAAAGTGTAGATGCCCGTTTGACTCATGGTGAACAACAGCTTTGCAAGCATGGACCACGCACATAATGAGCTTCAGAATGCTTGTAGTAGGCCAATTACAATGGAGGCAACACCTTGGAATGGGTGCCAATTTGCAGTCAATTCATCTTGCCATCTAAGCTCCATGAATGGTCTGGTTTGTGGAGCCACAGCGTAGAAGCAGTTTTTGTAGCTGCAAAGCCTCACCCTCTGCAGTCCGTGAAGAGAGTTCTGAAGCTGTTAGACAAGGACACCCTGTATAGGGTGCTGAGAATCCAAGAGAGCCTTGAGACATGCGTTGTGGTTTGAGTGCTGCATACGCAGCGTGCAGGTTGAAAGGAGGTACAAATGCCACGATCCCGTCACCCAGAAATAATGCAATGGATACCTGAAATCAGAGCACGATAAGACATACAGCTTCTTTCTTAGGGAATGCCAGAGATAACATCCCAAGCGCATCCCGTTGGCAGGAAGGACTCCACCTGTTAAGCTGGCGAAAGACGAGTCGTACTCAGTGGAAGTGAAGGGATGTTCAGAATTTGCTGCAGTTGACTTGCCAGGCCAGCGGTCTTAGATGGTTTTAACTTTGATGTTTTAATCGTGGTACCAGTCGGAATTGTTTAATTTCCCTCTAGTTCCAATCAAAGTTGTTTCATTCTAGTGTGAGCCATCCAATTTTCTAGTGGGTGCCTTGGAATGAGGCACTGCTTGGCAGGCATGGAATTTGCCCTCCGTCAAGGTGGGTGGAGACACTGAGAAGACCAATCCAAAAGGATCCAAAAAGATGATTTGAAATGGTGAGAAATCTACAGTAATAGCAATGGCCTCCACCCTAGTAGCGATGGCCTCCAACCTAATAGCAACGGCCTCTAACCCAACAGCAATGGCCTTCAACCTAAAGTAATAGCAATGGTCAGAAATCTAAGTTCCTTGGTCATGGCAACACAGCAAATATAGCAACCACTTCGTGGCTTGCAGTGCTTCCAGCCAATCACCTTTGCCAGAAAGACACATTGCAGCATGTGGGCTACAGTCACGCATGGCAAGCATGGTGGGCACTCCGATGTTCAGCGCTTCTGACAATGCACACGGACCTTTGTTCAACATTTTACGCAGGTGATCTCGCAAAAAGTATTCAATGGGCTCGGAAGGGCCATCAATACGCAAGGCAGGGTGAATAATATTGATGCCCGCACAGTTCACATAGTTCCATTGTCTGTGTGTAACTTATGCATGATGTCAGGTATGCTTCTATGAGTTGTAGCAATCTATAACTGCATGGCGTGCAAGGTACTGAAAGGTGATGGAGATTTGAACCCACTTGGAACATCTCTATACTTGGAAGAAGAGGGGTCAGGTATTTTTAAAACTCAGCGACGAGAAAGCAAATGCACCTCCGAAGTGTGGGATGTTGGGGGTGTCTTGCAACTGCAATCGGCAAAACACGAATGCGAAGATCCATTTGAAGGCTAGCACATGGTCCAGATCACCGCGATACGAAGATGCTGCTTCAACTCATGGAGGAGTGAAGCAGGGCGAAGAGATTCTTTGATCCTGTCGCTCTTTGGGCGATTTGAAAAACATAGGTCCGGTTCCCTTAAGAAGGGGCCTTCTGAAAGGGGTTCTTACTTTCGTTTTTCTGTGTCAACTCATTGGAGCCGCAACAACCACTCCAGAAAAAAGACAGGCTCCACAGTCCAGGTGGTACACGGTATTGTTTTGCAAAACCATTTTCTGCTAAACTTGGAAGACTCTGAAGGGGTGTGTATTTTTTTTTGTATATGGTTTTGCAAACCATTTTAAGTTCCAATGCTTGACATCCTGGAAACAGTTGAACTGTTTTTCATGGAACCTTCTTGCATGACTGGTAGATCAAGTTCTTGGCGACGCAAGGACCCCAGCAGCCATCCCGACTTCCAGTTTCGTACGGATGAGGTTCGGCACTTAAAGCACCATCCAAGTGTTTGATGCAGCAGTGCAGCTGTCCTATTTTTGAAGGGCTGCTATGGCTGCTGCATTTCCGCAAGAAGAGAACATGTACGAGAGGGAGAGGAACCGGTGGCCTTTCTTCAAAGTTCTTGGGCTTTACCTGTCACTCATTTGTATCAGCCAGCACCTGTAAAGTCCCAGAGTTTGTAGCAAACGAGGGCAACTCCTCTGGGAGGAAAGAGAGGCGGTCAGCAGACTAGACACACCATCAGCTAGGGCTTTCGACTCTTTTTTCTTTGCTTGCCGGATCTTGCAAACATGTACGGCAAACCCCCTCAGATGAAAGACTGGACAGCATACGTTGTGGTGATGAGCATCGCTTTCGCACGCATCCCAGAGCTCATGGACACAGCAGCTAAAACACAACCACAGGCTCTTTGGAACATCATTACTCGTATGCAGTCATGCGTCCTTGCAAGAACGCTACTAGGGTCTCCTGGCCTTACTACTAGGAACAAGAAGCTACTAGGGGCTCCTGGCATCGCTACTAGGAGCAAGGACGCTACTAGGGTATGCAGTCATGCGGCGTGCGAAGACCTTGTTCTTGCCAACATTGCGTTTCTGAACACCCACTTTGTTGACACTGACCCCATGTTTTGATGCTGAGGTTGTCTTCACTGTTCTTTATATTTGACACGAAAAAGGCGTTTGATGAGAAAGCTCAAGCTTGCCTCAATTCAAGCTCAGCCAGCTTCACTCGAACTGACATTTGGCTCAGGGAGGCTTGCTGGCCACGCATACTGTAGCGATATCAGCGGTATCAGCATGTCTTGTTAGTGTGAACAGGGCTACACAGTTAAGCTCAAAGGAAAACTGGGTATCACAATGCCACACACACATATATATATATATATTATATATATCCTTGTATTTTAGCAAAAAGAAGCGCACTGCTTGCCAAAGTTTTCGGCCATGGCAGATTCCAAGGCATGGCATTGGGGTTGTCATTGGGGATGTTGAGCTACCGTCACGACAGGCATAAATAAGGGTCAAAATGCACACCAGGGTCACCAACACTACCAGGACCAGGGCAGGGGGAAATACAAGATGTATACGTTTCATCACGTTTTCAAGCCCATGCTGCAAGGCCTGCAAGGCTCTTAGGCAAACTCAAGGAGGAAGACACGCACAGAGGAAATCCTCCAAAAAGGGAATGGACTTAAAGACTTAAGGGCATCGCCGTCGCTCCTAGCAGCAAACACGCTACTAGTCCCGGCCTTACTACTAGTAGCACGAAGCTACTAGTAACAAGGGCATCGCTACTAGTAACAAAGGGCATCGCTGGCAACAAGGGCATCGCTACTAGTAACAAGGACGCTACTTAAAGAGAAACGGACTTAAAAGTCTTTACTTAAAGACATTTAAAGACTTAAAGACATCTTTTTTGTGTTCTCGGCCTGGTGGCCTTGACGATCCGTACTTGGCTCAGGCCTCAGGCCTTGAGCTTACTGTTCGGTATCCGTGCGACCAGCGGTTCGGTATCCATGTTAGGAATATGATATACTATAATATTATGACTTATCTATATACACAAAACCCCTTAATTGCTACACCACAAGAAGTGCATTCTTGTGAATCTGAAAGAACGAACTCTCGAGTTCATCGCGGCCTCGGATTTTGACCCCGAGCGATCAGGTTCGTGGTGCTGTTGGGGCGGCTGCGGCCATTGTGCTCATCTCACGGCTCCGGGATGTCTGGCACTGAGCGGCGCGGACGGGAAGATGGAGCAAGCGATGAGAGTTGTGAGGTAAGCGAGGCTTGTGCCAACTTGGGCACGTCTTTTTCTCACGGAACATGGGGAGACTGTTCTGTTATGACTGGTCATTTGATGGTTTGGTTGAAAGCTGAGACTTGCCAAGGTTCAGCATTTGCCACGCCTCGTGCTGGACAAGGAGAAGTGAACGTGGGTGAATTCAGCAACAGAACGGAATAGCTAATCTTTATGTAGCGATCCAAGTTGTCCTTAGTTTCACCATCCATTCTTGAAAAGCAGCTTCAAGCCGACTGAGACTAGGTGAATAGGCCTCAAATGGACACAGGGCCCTCACGCGGCTGGATGTTCTTTTGGTGGCAGGGCTCTCCAACTCAGAGTTTGCGGATCCTTGCCTCTTCAGTGGCAATCTATGGCGGAAGCCTCAGCCCATGTCTGTACGAAGTCGACTTCGATGTCGGAATCCCTTCGCACTTTTGGAGAGCTGAGTGCCGTGTGTTTGGCAGTTCCACATCCGGATCCATCCTGTAATGACATGAAGCATAATTTTCCGAGGCTACGAGCGGCTTGTGGCCATGATCTTGCGACGTTTGGGACTGACAAGGCCCGACTTGACGAGTCGGTGTGATGTCTAAGCTTCGAATAGATCTTGATACGTAATTAGGTCTTGTTGGAAAGAGATTGGGAGATTGAGACAGTTCACAATGAACCTGACTTCATGACTTACCTTGCAGTAACCGTCGAGGATGCCCTCGACATTGGCGGCGATGCTTTCCCTGTTCGCAGCGTTGCGAACTGTTCTGCCCCCAGTCAGTCGGCGGTGATGGTATGAAATAGCAGGTCGATGCATGTCAAGCACTTATACTGCTATTTTCTCTTGATAGAAGTTGATAGTTACGAGCTGTCAGCTTCAATGGCTAGAGTCTAGAGTTTTTTGTGACATCATTCAACCTTGCAGGTGAACCGTGGCACACACACACATAATAGCACACCTGGATCACCAAGACTCCACACCTGTCGCCATCCGTGCAGCGCATGTGCTGCTCAACTCACTGCCGAAAGCATGTAGTCTTCTATGGGGGCAGCTAAGCCAACTATCGGGCTTTGAAATTGCTTTGAATCTGAGAGAATGTGCCAGGTGCAGAAAGTGCAGGGGAGGCAGTCCTCAGACAGGCAGGGATGTTGATCCGTGTTTCAGAGAGCAGGTCTTTGATATGGCCATGGCCAAAAGACTTGTCGTTCATCCTGAAGCCCTAGCTGCTAGCCGCGCCATAATCTCCGGCAGAGCCAGTGGAGTTTATTGCGAGGTGTTTGTGATGAGGTGAAGCGGAATGTGGTTATGTAACGGATGATGATTTGCCGAGACCTTTTGATACCTTTTCGACCTCTCGGCACGCTAGATGTCTCTGTCTATGCGCAGCCATCCACCTTGAGAGGCAAGGGGGCTTTCAGCCCAGCAGCATACTGAGCAAGTTGCCCAGTGCGTAGTCCGTGAGGTCCTCGTGTTGCTCTCCTGCAAATGTGGCACTTGGTGGTCATCTGCATGGCACCACTGGGTGGAGCTCATGTCTCGAAGCCATGCTGTGTAGTGTCCAGCGGTCTCTTGGAGCCAAAATGCGTGATGATGCACCGAATCTGGTATCGAACATGGCTGAGGGTCACACTCGAAGGCTCAAGGGCGGCTGGCAACATCACATGGTCTGTGAAGTAGACATTGGGGTTGTCTTTGTCCTTGAAGGGCACGGTCCTGTCCAACATGATGGTGACGAGCTGTGGAGTACCTGTCAGGCCAGTATGCACTCCCAGGGAATAAGTCCAGGAATCAATGATGTGCTCAAGTGTGAGGTTCTTTTGATCCGCAAGCCAGTCGAAATTCAGAACTCCCTGTCTGAGGTGTGTACCCCGTCTATGGACGAGAACCGCCTGGCCCAGCTGGCCTTTCCAGCAAAAGAACATCAGTTCTGAGGCACATTGCTAGGCTGGCAATCTGCAAAGAGCTCATGAATCCACCCACCATGAGCACCCAGGCCTGAGATAGAAGACCAGGCGTGGTCACTACGCCTCAGAACAGAGCAATTTCAATGGCGTTGATGTAGCACCAGTTGCCATCTTTGGTGAACTGCCACTTCAAAATTGCGCCCACATAGTCTTGTGATGTGGGTTGAGTCAAGTCTCCTGCTTCAGCAGGAGAAGGCATCCTTTGCCCTTCGATTTACCCTTGCCACAGGCCTGAGTTGGGATTGAAGAGGGGCTTCCAGATGGAGTTGGAAGGAAGACGAGTCAGGTTCTTGTGAACCCTGTCGGTGCTCAGGCTGACTTGGAGCTTCCTTGGTGTGGTCACATTCTTGGTCTCCGGTGACTTCAAAGCCTGGAACTTGAGGCAGAGAGCTGGATCGCAAGCCTGCTCCCGTAGTTCTGTCAGCAGTGTGACCATTGCCTGCGTACACATGCTTCTTGTCCGGGCACCATCCTCCAGCAGCAGGCTTCTTTTCCAGATTGGACTGTCTGGAGTTGCCTTGTTCAGGTTGGTACTCGATCCAACAGTGCCCCCATGAGTGATCGTCAAGGTCCTCAATGGCTGCTCGGGCGGTGTCGACTTGGAGGAAAATGATGAAGCCGTTTTGTTTTGCAAGCGTCTGTAACTGGTCTTCGCGACGTAGCGTGAGGATTGTGCGGGCGGTCAAGTTGCGGAGCAGGATCCGAGGGTCCACTTCCTTGGGATGAAGTGGCGGTGACCGGAGGGGGAAGCTTGGGCTGTTTGGCCCTTGCGTCTTCTTCTGGCCCCGGCCTTAGGCGCTTCAGTGGCCCCAGCGCCCATGACCCACTAAGGCTTTGCCACAGAAGCTGGCCACTTGGATCAGGATAGCGCAATGGTGCTTGAGCAAAGAGGGGAACAATCAAGCACCTCTGCGCGCTCTCGGCACGCTGGAGGGGGACCTGAGTAGGTGCTCCGGGCAGAGTCCAGAGAGATAGATGCTTGTGGGCGCCTGACATGCTGCGGGAGCTTTTCCCACAAATCTGGCAGCGCAGGCTCAATCAAGTGCAACTTGATCGTGGGTCATCAACTATAGGTAGTCAAAACCTCGTTGTTCAAGCGTCTGCAATATATTCGGTTGACATCTTCCGAAAGGAAAAATCTAGCCCGTCTCTGATCTGAGCACGAAGTCCTCAGGTGAGGTGGAGCTGCAAGTGACCGCTGCCGAGGTCTGTCTGCACCAACGCGTAGAGATTGCAGAATCGATGGGCCTGAGCTCGTAGGAGGGCCGTACGAAAGTGAACTTTCCTGATGGGCTGACGGGCTGAGAGGACATGTCTGGCTGTAGTCCGCAGCTGTTTGCGCCGATGCCACGACTTCATGCGCTTCAAGAACACCGGGGCCAGTGCTGTGCAGGAAGGGGCCGGGCCAAGAACAATCGTGTAATCGAGAACCTCCGCGAAAAAATGTGGCTTCAGAGAGAAGGGACGCACGAACAAGGGGGCCCGTCCGCTCAAACCGTGCGGGAGTGCCTGCTTGAACACTGGTAGCAGCACTTGATGATTTGCTGCGTGTGGAGTGGTGCAATGTGATGGTTTGTATTGATTTGTGATAATGTGGTGTGTAGTGGCTTGTGAGGTAGTGATGTGACTTGTGGTGACAGTAGTGTGATGTGGCTATGTGTTCATTGTGGGTCATCCAGAGAAGTGTAATGCGGTGATGCAGAAAGGCCTCCTTAAAGAATCGTCGATGTAAGGAATGGTTCCTAGATTCACAAGGGGTGAGCAGGATGACTTGATCGAAGGGTTGCGTCTGCAATTGGCAATTGCCACTACTATGGCACAGCTTTTTCTGAACTCCCCTGTTCGACATACTTGTGCCCTTTCCTTTTCGAAGGCTGGCTGAACTTCTGAAGCCGGGTGTGGACTTCTTGGGCAAATGGATGGGCCTTTTCTTGGCCAAAACCCAAGTCGGGATCAGGACTATACGGACCACACGAGAGAAGAATAGGCAAAGAACTGCAGAAAAATGATATGCCAAACAAATCATTATCCGCATTGTGGATGTTTTTTTTGTAGGCAAAACAGTTTTCAAAACCTATAACATGATACAACGTGTAGCATGCAGAGGGATTTCGTTTTTATATGGTGTGCATATTAACGATCCATCATCTATGCGTTCTTTTCTCTCTCTCTCTCTCACACTCTCTCCCAATCCCTGGAAGCACTGCACGCATGTAAATGATTTGTTCCTTCTCCACAAATTTTTCGCGTTAAGTCAACTCAAATTATTTTGGCATGCGTCCAAACACAATCACAATGAAAAACACAACTTCACCAAAACCATCATGTCTGTCAGCAGTATGACTGAATTGTAACCATAGTCGCCAACATTGCCATAGCTCTCGAGACTCTCGTCGTCATGATTGTCATGTCGCAGACTTATTTCTAGGTCATTCACTTTGAAATTACATATAAAAGGAACCAGCTCCTTCAAGTCTGTTTCTCATTTAGCCAGCCTGTGGATGCCTGTTCGTTATTGGTTACTATATGTTACTATATTTGTTCTCCGTCAAGTCTTTCCCTAGGCTCCTCCACTGGCTTCGTTGGATGCTTCCATTGCTCGACTGCCGCCGTACAGTTGCACTCTCAGAACCACACAGGTGGACCATGACTTTTCATTCCTTTTCGTGTCATCAAACAAAAAGAGAAGGCATGACATGACCTTTTCATACTTTTTCCACCTTCAGTTGGAGTCTTGGATTCCGACTCGACAGCTTTTTCTCACGCGTGAGTCGACTTCCTCAAAACCACTATGAGGCCATGGCTTGATGCATCTCATTGAACGCTATCATGCAACTTGCACCACCCCCAATATACTTGTACTTTGTGGCCATGTAGGGAAATACTGTGCTCTGAGTGTTGTCAATTCGGGAACATTTGTGGCCATTGTGGCCGGTTAAAGACTTTCAGTTGCTGACTTTGGACAGTAAGGCGGCAAAGTGTGGGCCAACACAACTGCTCTACTTGGCTTGGGTTGGGGCTTCACGTCATGCCCTTGGACTGTTTGACTGTCTTTAGGGAGCGGTTAGGCATGGGGCATTGAGGAGATTTGGATAAATTTGGCAGTTTTGCAGGGCATAAATGAAACAACTCCATTGCCCCGACTTATTTCTCAGACTTGTTTAGTTACAAGTTTCAATACCATATCTCGGACTTATTCCTTTGACACACCTCTCTTTATGTACTGCTTGCGGAGCAAAGCTTCATTCCCAAAATAAATAGTGATTGTACGGTGCTTCCAGGGTCCAGTGGCCAAGACTGATTTTCTATAGTTCGCTTCAATTCCCGAGCCTTCATTCCTGGTTCTGAGGCATGCAGCAGCAGGTGGTGTGGCCTCCTCACTTGTGCCTGCCGACAAAGAACCGCGTCTTGGCATCATTTGGAAGCCAGCTATGCCCAGCCGCACTTTTTTCATACACTGATGAGCTGTAGACAGCTTTCAACTCTGCACGGGAGCCGCTGGAAGCTTGCTCCATCCAGGGGCAAGTCGTCCTACACGGCTACTCCTGCCGCATCACCAATGGCCAACGGAAACAGCCAGGCAGTTTGACAGGGACAACCGTTTGAATGAGAGAGACAGTGACTCTTGGTAGGAAGATGTAGAAAGGGCTGAAGAGACCGGTACTGTAATGGCAACCGGGCAAGGCATTCGAGACCAGACATTTTGCAGTGACAATTTCTTGTTCGTTTCATGCGCAACTCCAGGTTTCCCAGGAAGAAGCAGTTCGACGGTCTTGGGTGTTGCTCGGGGCAGCAGGATTCCTTGGTGTGCCGGGAGCCCTGCAGCCTGTAGTATCCTGTAGTCAAGTCTTTTGCAATGTATAGCCGGAGCGATTGCTACACTAAACATCTTCCTGCTCACCCAAAGGTGTTGGTTGGCGGGGTAATTGTCCTCCAGAAGTGGCATGTTTTTTTGGCTAGAATGAGCACAGTTTTGCACCCAGGGCATGCTCACCTGCTCTCCCTTTGGTGCTCCATCGTCCCTTTGGGTCAGCCTGACTTGTGATTCTGCGCGTGGACCTACCAGTGGTTGGAAAGAAGTCACACACAAAAGACTTTAAGAGAAATACTTCAAGGAACCTAATAGCAATGGCCTCCAACCTAATAGCCATCGCCATGGCCTCCTCCACCCTACAAAAAGGATCAAAAAAGGACGCTTGGAGCAGATGAGATAGCCATGTCATCCTGTCATCCCCCGTGTCACCTTGCTTGCATGTTGCACTTACTCGCACGAGCAAGTGCCTCTCCAGAAGACCGCAAGCATGAACCAGTAAGTGGTTCCTGAACAAGCATTTCTTCAGCGGTACTGTACCGACTGTATTTGTTCCTCTGACTCTAGACTCTAGGCTTGTGGTTGACACAGTGAATCATTAATTTTTCAGGCTCATTTCTTGCAGTATCCAATCGAAGACCTGAAGCTGGGTGTGGCAGGATCCTTTGCGAAATGAGCACAACAGTGTGCTCCTTTTCGCTGGCCAAGCTGTTACCAGATGCAATCCAGGCCTGTAGATATCTCATCTACTTGTCCATTCGGTCAGTTTGCTGATGCTGGTTCTAGTTATATAGTGGGTCATTGGCAAACCAGTACATTCTGAGAGATAGGAGCAAGCAAGCCATGTTTTTAATTGTTTGGGGGGCCTGGTCTTTGGGTTAACAGTAAAGACATGAGCTGACCCGAGAATTGAGAGACCAAACCGCGTGTTGTCGCTGGATCCTGCCCAAGAGTGCAATATATATATATATACAGTGTGGGAGCAACACTTAGAATATGAAAAACGTGTTAAATGGAGCTAGAATATGAACACATATTTTATAGAATATGGATTAGTTAGAAATGGAGGCAGATAGAATATACATATCATTATATACATATCTGGGAAAACATTGATGCAAGTATGTCGTTATGATTGCTGCTGCTGTTCTGAATATTGTGGATCGAGAAACGCTTGTTGGCTGGATTGTTTACTGTATTGTGTTTTGTTGCCGTGCTGTGCAGTCAGGCTTTGTACTTTGTACTGTATGTATGTACAGTATTGTTGTTGTGATTGTTGCAGTTGCTGCTTCTGGATGATGTTGATCGAGCAATGCTTGCTTGCTTGTTTTTGCTTGGTTCTTGTTTTGTAAACATGGTGCCCGTATATTCTATTTGCACTCGTATTCTAAGTGCTCTTTTGTACAACGACTCCGATCGTGGTCTGAATTTAAATGCAAAAAAGTATTTATTTCATATTCTAACTGTGTTTCCCTGATAGTATATATATATATATCAACAAGCCAACCGACGGAAGCTCTTTCAGACACCCTTTCAAAACCCCTTTCAGAAGCCCTTTTTCCAAGACAGAGTATACAGATTCCCTGAGTCCCAAGCAGCCCTCACAAGCCCATTTGCCTTGCCAAGCGCGTGCTCCACCCGCTGGTCGCGTGCGCTGTCTCCTCCAACTTAGCGTAGTCCCGGCATGATTTGACCTTGGTTTTTGATGGTGGATTCTTGGGGTAGCAAGGTCACACGATGATATAGGAACCTCGAACCTAGAGATCTGGATGAAAGATTATGAAAGATGGTGAAAGCAACATTAAGTCAGTGTTGTGTTTGCTTTGACAAGCAGACTCGAGCTTGCAGCTACACCCGCTACACACCCGCTACACCCCAGGTCACGCTTTGTCGGTCCTGTGGCGCCCTACTTTGATGAGGGGAAAGGCGTCAGTGCCTTGGGATGTGACTCAAGGCATAGATGACACATATAAAGAAAGACAGATACCTGCAAACTATAAGGCTCTGCCTGGTTGAGAAACATGCTTTACATATGTTTGCCCTCCCGATCTACTTGCAGACTGCAGGGATTTTGCTGTTTGGGTCGGAGTAATTTTT